TATTCATGGAGACTTGGGCTCAACAGCCAATTTGAAGAGATTTGTTAAACAATAAATGACTTTATAAAGTCACTTTTTTTTGTTCTATATCAGTCTTTTGATCTGCCACAATAATGTAATAATGAATTTAAATGAAAATACCTCAAATTGAAGCTTTTCTCAGCAATTTTTAGGTGAGATTAAAATGAGATTAATTAGATTAATTAATTACAGATCATAATTAATTAATCTCTCAATTTTTTTAATCGCATGACAGCACTATTTTATATACCACTGCTTTGAATGCATTGACTAGTTTGAAATAAGCATAAGGGCTGCAGTGGATAAAACTGGTTATATTATAAATTCCAACACTTCCAGAATATTCATGTCATTTTCAAATCCACTAAATATCATCAGCATATTGGCTTTTATGTTTTCATGTGTTTTGTAAAACAGGACATGATACTATGTGATAGCAGATGTTTTTCTCCAAAAATGAGTGTTGTAAATCTTACAAAAATATGCTCTTCCTGCTCTCAGAAACATTACATTTATATATTACATATATTTATTCATGTGGGACAGTCTATTTATTTGGTATAGACACTTCCTAAAAGGAAATTCTTGGTCCGGGTCAAATTTGACCTGGACTATGCTGTGAAAGCTAAATAAATGAGAACAGTATTTAAGGGTTAAAGACATACAGTTATAGGCTTCGTTATCCATTTGAGTTAAATACAATTACAGACAAAGCTGTTTACTCAGGAGTATTTTTAGAAATGGACCTGTAGAAGTCGCTGGACCCGCTGCACCGACCAAACAAATGTGCTCCGAGTCTGAAATCAGTCAGCCTCCTCTCACCACCTACGTCTAATCACGCAGCACTTTTAAAGCTTTGGAAGTATAATGCATTTTTGTGATTTTTCTGTTCCAAACCTTCAAAACATTGTCAATTTTGGCCAAGTATTTTAATCAGCACTAACCTTTTATAAAACATTCACACTTTGAGGCTCTGATATTCTGTTTTTATTTAACAGCCTATGAAGATGAGACTTACCATTTGCAAGTGAAATCATTTTCTTTCTCAGTGAAATCTTTTTTAATTGGACATATTTTTGCAACAAGTTATTTTTGTCTTTTGATGTGCTAATTGCAAACAAAATTGTGTCAGCTTTAACCTAAAGATTCGCTGTACATTTTTTAGCTGCGTTCCAATTTTTAAAGCAGAATTAGCCCCACTGGGATTTTGTGACATTACATAAAATAGTCAGGCGATGTTTACTGTGTTAAAAATGTGAAAAACTGAATTAGTTCATTTTAAATAGTTTGCAGTGCTCCAAAGTTTCCTCACTGCCGCACAAACAACAATTACTATTCTCACAGCTGTTGAGCAGATGTCGGCACCTCCTATGGTTTCACCCGTCCAACCTGTTCACTTTGACAAAACTTTACAAAGACGAATGAACGTGGAGCCGTGTCCTGCCTCCTGGATTTCAGAAGGAGTGATTGACAAGCGGATTAACCAACCAAAGAGACGCGTGCTCCATCTGGTTTACACAAAAAAAGAGGTGAAAAATCTACATAAAGGACTGAGAAACACTGTGGATTTTCTGAGGATCAACAATCAAAGCACCAAACTATGAGTACGTTTACATGCACATCAGTATCCCGGTTATGGAAGTATTCGGGATACTGCATATACACATTTTTGTACATGATCACACGGAGTATCACAATTTCTTGACATAATCCTACAAATGCACAAGCGCAAAAATGAACTTAATTTAATAAACCAGGAAAAATGCACACAACCATGAGCTCCTTTAGCAGAGGAAGCTCGGGAGGCTCCTAACTATGATCCACTACGCAGATCAAACCGACCCTTTCCAGAGTTTCCAGTTTCATCAGTCTTTGTGTGGCTGTAGACAGCAGGGAACACTGTTTGACTACCGTATTTTTCAGACTATAAGTTGCACTTAAAATCCTTTAATTTTCTCAAAAATTGACAGTGCGCCTTATAGTGCTGTGTGCCTTATGTATTAATTCTGGTTGTGCTTACTGACCTTGAACCGATTTTATATGGTACACGGCGCTAAAAAAAAATCTGTCAAATTTTGGGCGGCAGTAGCTCAGTTGGTAGAGCATTCGCCCACTGATCTGAAGGTTGGTGGTTCGAGTTCTCGACATAAACATCACAGGTTGAGTGGTCAGATCCACTGACCCACAGGTTGGCTGATGTGATTCCAGCTCCCACAGATGAATGCTGCTGTTGTGTCCTTGGGCAAGACACTTAACCCACCTTGCCCACAGTGTCTGCGTACACTGGTGTGTGAATGGGTGGTTCCTTGTTGTAAAACACTTTGAGTGCCTTGTAGGTGGAAAAGCGCTATAGAAAAATGTGACCATTTACCAAAATGTTTTAGTGTGACTTTGGTAAACTACGAAGCCGCATTGCTTGATGGATTGTCAGAGCATTACGCTGACCATAATCAGGAGCCTCACGGAGTCCAACAGAAGCTGACGCATCAGTGCACAAGGAGCAAGCTGGTTTTTTCAGGGTTATGCAAATTTGCCATGTGGCTTTAAGTTTAATTTCTGTAAAACGTAAACAAATGCGCACAAAGCTGCATTAAACACATTATTACTCAATGTATATTTCGGCTTCAGTTTTGCTACTAACCTTTTAACTCTTTCCCCCATGAAGACGACATTTGACGACCCCCCTGTTTCCTTAATGACGACTTTTGACACCTCCGCTGTATCACTAAAGACGTGATTTGACGACCTTTAGAAACGGCTCGGTTTTTCACATTTAAACAGAGACTGCGATCGGTGGGGCCACTACAACCCACACTAGACTGACCAATAGGATTCAAGGATATGTTTTCGCCGATTTTTTCTGAAGTTAATCGAAGTAGTGACGATGGTAGCTTCCGGAAAAAACACAACACGAAACACGTGCAATGGAAAGATCGCGGCGCTGCGGCGCACAGTTTTAGAAATAATGAGGAGCGGACGTATTTTATGGATAAGTTTAGAGAAAGTGACTTTTATAGATTTCAAAGTGATGATGAGGGTGATTATAAAGTGGAAAACAGCGATAGCGACGGACTTACAGAGAGTGAATCTTATGAAGATGAGAATGCCGCTGATGCGTCTGTATGGAGTCCTGCGATGTCCGAACAAACTATCCGGGCTTTATACTCGATTATGAACCAAAACTGCCCTGAAATCACTCGTGGAAGTCTGTTTTCTTTTATGCAGTTATGCTCTATGGGTGTAGCCCTAGTAACATATGTATGGGTTGTTCCTAGTAGGCGTCCAGGGGGGAAAGAGTTAAACCCAAACGCCGTCCATCATGATTTCGCCAATATTGTTACACCCCTAAAAATGACATCTGGAATACAGGAGAATAAAAACTCAAACATGCACGGATCACTCCAGATACAACTTCATAGATTAAATGAGAAGGAACCAACAACAATAGTGTTAAAAGCTCTGAAAAGTCCATTTTGGAGAATAGGTCTGCTTTAGGGGATCCATTATCTTACTATATTTATGCACGCACTACTAAATCTGCAAATAAATGATAGCCATCTACTCGCTCTCGTGTTTTTCAATAGAGGATAGTGTGGTCTGCGTGAACAACATTTAAACTGTGTTATTTTCACCGCGTTATCTCCCGCTGTGTCATTTCCTCTTCACATTAGGTTTGAACTGATTCTATCTGCGCACACGTCTGAGAACGAACAAAAACACATCGGACGCTTCACTCCAAATAGTTTTCATTGACTCGACCCGTCAGACGTTTGGACATGATTAATTCCATTGTTTTTATTTACATCATCACCGAAGTTTTTGTTTTTGATGCTCTGAGTTTCCCCTCCCTTTGCTCTCCGTGCTAAGTCACTCCTCCCTCAGAGCGTTAGACTTGTGGGCTGAGCATCGAACCGAATCTTATAGTTCATTGTAACTTAGTGTTGGAATAAGGACGTGGAATCCGTGTATCATTCGTTCATTCATTTTTCAAAATAAAACCAAAAATAAGAAAATGAAAAAACAACAATTTTCTTCATTTTTTGGCTCCAAAACCAAAATGAAAAAAAAAAAAAAAAAAGGATGACTATTGTTTTTTTCAGCTTTCGAGTTTGTGTTTAAATGAAAATGGAAAAAACGGATAACGACCGTTTTTCCGACCGTTTTCCGTGACTTAAACTCAGATGCCGGACTTTTGCGCGGCATACGAACTGGACCACGACTCAACCAGGACTAAACCAGGACTAAACTGGTCTCAGTCCTGGTCTGGTTCCGATCTGGTTCTGGTTTCAGTCCCGGTCTCAGTCCTGGACTCAATCACAGTCTGGTCCCGGTCTCAGTTCCGGTCTAGTCCCAGTCTCAGTCCCGGTCTGATCCTGGTCTGGTCCCGGTCTCAGTCCGGGTCTCATCCTGGTCTTAGTCCTGGTCTCAGTCCCGGTCTGGTCTCGGTCTCAATCACAGCGTGGTCCCAGTCTGGTCCTGCTATCAGTCCCGGTTTGGTCCCAGTCTAAATCTCAGTCCCGGTCTCATCTTGGTCTGGTCCCAGTCTCAGTCCCAGTCTGGTCCTGATCTGGTACTGGTCTGATCCTGGTCTCGGTCCCAGTCTCAGTCCTGGTCCAGTCCCGGTCTGAGTCCCGGTCTCGTCCCGGTCTCAGCCTTGGTCTTAGCCCTGGTCTCAGTCCCACTCTCAGTCCTGGTCCTGGTCCCGGTCTCAGTCCTGATCACCCAACAGTCTATGTGGGTGCACCTCCGGGCCTGTCCCAACACTCAGTCCTGGTTTAGTCCTGGTTTAGTCCTGGTTTAGTCCTGCTTCAGTCCGGGACATGTTTTTATGTTATAATGTTCCTCATCATAAACAAAACACAACTCCAGGTCTGTTTTTGATGAGGAAACCACATTCTAACACGACTTAAATCTCACAAGAGACGAACCGCCAACCAAAAAGTTACACACTGCAGCTTTAACTTTATCCCCGTCCTCACCTGTCTTTTCCGGTCTCCTTCTTGAAGATCTCATCAAACTGCTGCATCTTCTGCCAGGAGACGATGTAGACCTTCAGCTTGGGCAGGAGCTGGCTCAGGAGCCTCAGGTTGTTGTAGATGAGTCCTTTACCGTCCCTCCTCATGTAGCTGCTCGGGCCCCAGAAGATGAACACGGCGTCCCTGGTGGCGTTGAGCAGCTCGTGGCGGCTCCGGAGCACCCTCTGGAGGCTGGAGTGGGCGATGACGCGCAGGGAGGTCCTTCGGCCGACGTCGCGCGTGTAGTCGGTGCGCTGCGTGGAGGTGGGGGCGTCGTTCATCCGGATGACGCACTGGGCCCCGTCGATCTCGGCGCCCCGTCCTCCTCCGATCAGGTGCCCCGAGCTGGTGACCAACGAGCAGGTGCGGCAGTGCATGCGGAGAGGCTGCGAAAGAGGAAGAGGAGGAAGAGGAGGGGAAGAAGAAGGGAAGGGACAGTTAAAATGGGTTGTTCAGTTTTTGGGAAATGTTGTACGAGTGTTTCTCAAGGTGCATCAACCCGTCCAATTAGAACAAAAAGCTCTAAGTTCGGTTAGTTTTCTTTGGCGTAAAATCATCAATGGGACTCAGATCCTGCACATAGGCTTAGGGAATGTGCAATCAAAACTGCACATAGGCTTAGGGAATGTGCAATAATTATAACTAAAACTGCACATAGGCTTAGGGAATGTGCAATAATTAATAGAACAGAAGAATGCAAGGGCCTGTTAAGGATAATTTAAGGGTCCTGTTGGTGCATCACTCGTGGTCATACTGGTCTCATATTTACTTTGTTTTATGGTGTTTGTTTATGTGCTGCTTTGTGTTGTGTTGTCCTGTTTTTTTGATAAAACATGTTACCCCCTGTCCCAAGACAAATTTCTCCCATGGGAGACAATAAAGGATTATCTTATCTTATCTTATCTTATCCGCAACCGGACTGAAAACTAAAAAAAGAGGTGGTCTTGGTCCGCTTGATTCCGCACCAGAGTTTGGCATTTGGTCCCTCTGGTGTGGATCAAAAGAAACAGGAAACGCACACCAAAATTCTTGTAGAGGTGCAAATGCAAGGAGCAGCCAGGTCCAAAGCAAAAACAAATATCTGACGAAGGCTTTTTTTGCCGAAACGTTTTTTCGAAAATAAAAAAGCTCGGCCATCTGAATGTGCTATGCATTTTTTCACTCTTGTCCCTCTGGTGTGGATGCCAACTCAGGTCCAAACAGTAGACGTTAGGTCCAAACAAACTCCATCGTGAGTCATGACTGAGGGTGCGTGCGTATGTTCGAACACCTGGACCTGCACGCACAGAGAGATCCCGGTGTTCCCGTAGGAAATTAATCAAATAATTTTATGGCAATAAGACTTTTCAACTCAAAATTCAGCTTCAAAAATGCCCTGCTTTTAGCCTAGTGTGACAAATGCCACAGTGGGACTAGATCCAAACCATAGGACGGCCCGTGGTATTAACAGGGAACATTATGGGTACAACAACATTGGTAATACATGCATCCCAAATTTTGGACTTCCGGTCATCGCGCCAAAGACCACACAAATACGATGTCCGAATCCCATAACTAAACAAAAGTGATATGGTTCAAAAGACTTGAAAAGATCGGCTTTGACACAGCACAGTTACAGTTATAATCATGCTTCCAGGAAAATGTTACACAGATCCTAAAACGTCTGGACTCATGTTTGTGTCACTTTTAATGAGAACTGTGTTTGTCCCTTTGCTGAAAACCTCTGCGGGCAGTGTTAAAGAGTAACAGATTACATGTACCAGGATTACGTAATCAGAGTACAAATTATGAGTAACTGTATTCAGTTACAGTTACAGTTACAGTTTGAATGAGTTGGGACTAAAACCAGGTCTAAAACAGGACTAAAACCAGGATTAAACCAGGACTAAAATAGGACTAAACCAGAACTAAACCAGGATTAAACCAGGACTAAAACAGGACTAAAACCAGGACTAAACCAGGTCTAAACCAGGTCTAAACCAGGTCTAAACCAGGATTAAACCAGGACTAAAATAGGACTAAACCAGGACTAAACCAGGATTAAACCAGGACTAAACCAGGTCTAAAACCAGGACTAAACCAGGCCTAAACCAGGACTAAACCAGGTCTAAAACCAGGACTAAACCAGAACTAAAATAGGACTAAACCAGGACTAAAACAGGACTAAAACCAGGTCTAAAACAGGTCTAAACCAGGATTAAACCAGGACTAAATCCAGGTCTAAAACAGGATTAAAACCAGGACTAAACCAGGTCTAAACCAGGATTAAACCAGGACTAAAACAGGACTAAAACCAGGTCTAAACCAGGACTAAAACAGGACTAAAACCAGGACTAAACCAGGACTAAACCAGGTCTAAACCAGGATTAAACCACGACTAAACCAGGACTAAACCAGGTCTAAACCAGGATTAAACCAGGACTAAAATAGGACTAAACCAGGACAAAAACAGGACTAAAACAGGACTAAAAACAGGTCTAAAATAGGATTTAACAGGACTAAATCATGCTGCGTGGACCATGTCTCCTTCTCTTCTATCAATAATATTTTTAATTTGGTTCAGTAAAGTCTGGACTTTTTATTGTCTTAAGCAAACAAAACATCTTATGTTACAATATCTTAGTCTTTGCTTCTCTACAGCAAACCAAGTAATCCAAAGTATTCAGATTACGTTACTCACCTTCAGTATTTTAATGGATTATGTTACAAAGTACATTTTGGGGTATGTAATCTGTAATCTGTAGGGGAAAACATTTTAAAAGTCACCTTCCCAACACTGTCTGCAGGCATCTGTGGTAAGAGTAAATATGAGGTGTGTCTTTAAACATTCTTAGTGTTGACAAAATGTGGGTGATTTCAGTGGACAGGCTCACGACTAGGGATGGGCATTCGATGAAATTTTCTTAATCGATCGTCGGAAGAATTAACGATCGATTATCGATTAATCATTAACGTTTCTATATTAAAATGATCATCATTATTATTACTATCTGCACTACTAATCTGCATAAATAAATTCAACTTTACGACATATAAACCGTAACGACTCTAGAGCCACATCAGCCTGTTTGACATTATAATGTGTTTAATTCAGTTTTGCGCAACTCTCACAGAAATGAAACTTAAAACCGCATCACTAATTTGTATAAACTCAGCGAAGATAAAACTACAGCTCTTGTGTCGCTGATGCGGTCAATTTCTGTCGGATTAAAAGACACGACCAGGTGAATACAGGTTAGTGTGACCAGATTTGCGTTTGTCAAAACCAGGACACCGTACGGGGGGTGGAGACTCGTCATCGACATTGCGCGACTCTCACCTGGTAAAACTTTTTCCCACTGGACACCGAAACATATGTGCTGCTTTGTACAATGTGCACATGGACTCACACTTGTCCCGAACGCAACGGAAAGCGTGGAATTTCTTGTACAAATCATCGTTAAATACACATTTGTGCTTGACTGACTGCTTGTGTCTCGCTCCTTCTGAGTGCAGAGACACATGTACAGACCCTGTTTGGTCACACTACACACAGCAACCTACATTCGGTTTGTCGATTAAAATTAACGTAATCGATGAAATTCTTAATGATCAGTTATCGATTAATCATGCCCATCCCTACTCACGACAGGTGCAGACGCTCCTGCTCCTGCCGCACCCTGTCGGCTCTGGACCAGCCCGGGGGACAGAGGACCGGACCGGAGTGCACACGTGTGGTCCTGCGGGGAGCGGAGTGTGGACAGTGAAAGCAGAATAAGAGCGAGGCACCGGAGCGTTCCATCAGGAGGGTGAGGGGGTGGCACAGGTCTGACACGGACCGGACCAAAAGTGTCTCGGCCCAAAGGGAAAAGTCCAGCCCTGGTCACTCAGATTTACTCCCAGTGACGGGGGAGAGTTACGCTGAGGTCGCACGATAAAATCACGACAAACTCCTCCTCGACTTGGACTCTTTGAATCTGAAACTCGCTGATGAAAACTCCTGAAACATTTTTGAGCCTGGAGCGTCGATGTGTCGTCCATAAACTAAAACCCACGCCCCTGAACGCAGCGTAACACACTTTTACTCGAGTAAGAGTACTGCTACTTCATTAAAATATGACTCAAGTAGAAGTCCGGGTTTAAATGCAGTTTTCAGTGTCGGAGTAAAACAGTCGTGTCCAAATACTGAATGTAAAATAATCACAGATACAGTTTTCTGTGTGTGAGTCGAATACAAACCACAACAAAGTATTTATACTGAACAGAGACACAAGGAGAGGAGGAGGAGAGAGAGAAAAGAGAAAAAGAGATGGGGAGAGAGAACGACAAAGAGAGAGAGAAAGAAAGAAAGAAAGAGAGAGAAAGACAGAGAGAAAGAGAGAAACAAACAACAGAGAGAGAGAGAGAAATAGAGAGAAAGCAAGAGCGAGAGAGAGGGAAAGAGAGAGAAGGGAAGAGAGAGAGAGAGAGGGAAGAGAGAGAGAAGGGGAGAGAAAGCAAGAGAGAGAGAAAGAGAGAGAAGGGAAAAGAGAGAGAGAGAGAGAGAAAGAGAGAGAGAAGGGAAGAGAGAGAGAGAGAGGAAAGAGAGAGAGAGGGAAGAGAGAGAGAGAGGAAAGAGAGAGAAAGCAAGAGAGAGAGAGAGAGAGAGAGAGAGAGAGAGAGAGAGAGAGAGAGAGAGAGAGAGAGAGAGAGAGAGAGAGAGAGAGAGAGAGAGAGAGAGAGAGAGAGAGAGAGAGAAGAGAGAGAGAGAGAGAGAGAGAGAGAGAGAGAGAGAAGAGAGAGAGAGAGAGAGAGAGAGAGAGAGAGAGAGAGAGAGAGAGAGAAGGGAAGAGAGAGAGAGAAAGACAGAAAGCAAGATAGAGAAAGAGAGAAAACAAGAGAGAGAGAGAGAGAGAAAGAGAAGGGAAGAGAGAGAGAGAGAGAGAGAGAGAGAGAGAGAGAGAGAGAGAGAGAGAAAGAGAGAGAAGGGAGAGAGAAAGCAAGAGAGAGAGAAAGAGAGAGAAAACAAGAGAGTGAGAGAGAGAGAAAGAGAGAGAAGGGAAAAGAGAGAAAGCAAGAGAGAGAAAAAGAAAGACAAAGCAAGAGAGAGAGAGAGCAAGAGAGATAGAAAGAAAGAGAGGGAGAGAGAAAAAGAGGGAGAGAGAAAGAGGGAAAGAGAAAGGCAGAGAGAAAGAGGGAGGGAAAGAGAGAGAAAGGGAAAAACAGAGAGATAGTGACAGAAAGCAAGGAAGAGAGACAGAGCAAGAGAGAGAGAACAAAAGAGAGTGAGGGGGAAAAAGAGGAAGAGAGAAAGAGAGTGAGAGAGAATGGGAGAAAGACAGAGAGAAAGAGAAGGAGAGTGAGACAGAAAGAGAGAGAGGGAGAGAAAGAGAGAGAAAGAGAGATAAAGAGAACGAGAGAGAGAGAA